AAAGAAATCCCCTTTAGCCTCTCTTCCAGAGGACCTGGGTTCGATCCCCACCACCCATTTGGTGGCTCACAACCATCTATAACTCCAGTTCCAGGGGATCTGACTCCCTCTTCTGGCCACTACAGGTACTGCATGCATGTGGTGCACATACTGACATTCAGGCAAAACACCCATATATAACATAATTTTGAAATTTCTTCTTAAAAGTAGCATGGTCTTTTAATTGTCAATAGCTTTTCTAGTCCACACAAACATTTTACAAAGGCAAAGCTTCATGGTATTTCATCCACTAAGTAATCCAAAGCTGCTGTCAGAAGGAAGACGACTCACCCGAAACACTCTGGAAAGTCAAGGTAAAAGCACAGTTCTAGCACCCCCTCACAGAAATGTGAAATCAACCTCACTCCCAGTCACTACAGACAATTTTATTGCACCCAATACAATAAAAACCTATGGCCTGGTTTTGTTTTTCTCTGAATTTGAGAGTGTAACCTACAGGCAAAACAAAGCCCATTTTATTGATTCAGGATGGCTCACCTGGAAATGTCCAGATCCTTGAACAGAAAATACCAAGTAAACCATGCTGCTCTCCCAAAAGGCTCGGTTTAGCTTCCGCTCATTACTAGGGGTTGTAGACCAGATACCCTTCTGTTGAGAAATTTCAAGGTTTCTCAGATTGCTACTCTTCATTATGAAGTAACGAATAGGCATGTTTGGTCTTGGTGAAGGAGATTTTGAACCCTATGAAAGAATGCATATGTTCTTGAAAGGTAATTTGACCTTTCAAAGCCAGTAGGCTCTCACAAACATCTTCATAAACACATAAACTTTACCAAATATTCAACAAATGTAAACAGTTTTCATGCATTGAAACCTTTACAATCTTTAATCAAAAAGCCAAAAAGCAGCACTTATTTCCAAAGAATCCAAAATGCCTTGGATCAAGAAAAGAATTTTATTAATTTTAATTTACACTTAGAATGAATTTTCAGAAAATGTTTTTAAAACCTTTCAATGCTGGAAACACAACCAAAATTGCTCCAGTTTACTGCCTGGAGGCAGTTTCAAGATGACAAAGAGGAACAGTCTAGTACTCCCACAAAAGACACCAAAATGACTAAAAAAGGTGCACAGCAATGCAAAAAGGCATTGCACAAACAGCTCCAGAGAAACTGCAGAAGGACCCCCAAAAGTGGATGGCTAGGCACTGACCTGACCAAGCATTTACAAAGACTGTTCTGAGAATAGGCAAAGAATGAAAGGAAAGCAGTACACTAAATAGCTCCCATGTCTCCCACACAGCTGGGAATACTTGCTATCCTCAGCCAGAGCAGAAACATTGTCATACACAATGCACCTGCCCTTAGAAGGTCGAACCTAAATAATGGAAGAAAACTAGGACCAGAACAAAGATTACTCATGATCTACTGGAACACATCTTTTAAGCAAACCTCAATAGTTCAGCAAGTTAAAGTGCTTGACAAGAAAACATGATGACCTGAGTTTGATCCCCAGGGACCCATGGTGGAAGAAAAGAACTGACTCTTGAAAATTGTCTTGGCATGTGAATGCACACATGCACATGCATGTACATGAACACAAATGGTTTTCATAATTTAAAAAGTATTAAAGTAATTGTAACTAACCTAGATAACAGAAACAAATCTAACACTATTCAAAGGAAGATAATAAGAATCTAGCAGCCAAACAAATGTATAAGAAATGCAAAGAAAATAAAGGATAGAATCCATAACCAGGAAAAAAATCAATATATGCAGACTCACATGGCTGATTTTGAAGACGGTAGACAAGATTGGTAACGTACCTATTATAAAATGTGTGAATACTGTTGAAGAAGATGAAAAAAAAAAGCATGAATACTATAAAAATGTATTTTAAATAACAGGAGATATTAAAGACACACGGGGAACCCTGAGACAAAATAGTAATTAAAAATAATAACATTACAAAAACAAACAGTTTATACTCAAATATATCACTGAATGAAGAGATAGCAATAACACTATCTAAAAATGAAGCCAAGAGGGAGAAATGATTAGGAAAAAAGTACCACACTATTAAATATTGAGTGGTCTTGTATACATATACACATAGATATTGAGCAAGAGTTCCAGAAAAGAGGGGAGAAAGGGTAGATATGAGAAATAATATGAAGAAGCTATATACTTAGATTTTCTAAGAACTGATGGAATTCTAGATATACAAATTGAAAAACAAAGATCAGAGGAAGTACTATCAAAATCCAGTTCCTCAAAAACAGTGATTGATGACTCCCTTAACTGTTATCATAGAACCTTCATTCAGTAAGTGATGGAAGCAGCTGCTGGATGAAGGAGAATCAGTTTTCTTCAGGGACCAAGTCCCTGATAGGTTAAGTAATCCCAAGTGATCAACTCTAGCACAGTAAGGTGTAGGTGTGTGTGTGTGTGTGTGTGTGTGTGTGTGTGTGTGTGTGTGTGTGTGTGTGTGTACACATATATGTGTAATAATAATCATAGAAGGAAAGATCATGAATGTGAAGAATTGTTGGAGCAGGGAGTGTTAGGGGTAGAAATGATGTAAACAGAGTACTCATGTATGGAATTCTCAAAAATAATTAATTTTTTAAATGGCTTTACTAGTGAGTTCTACCACAAGCATAAGGAAGAAACAATACCAATTCTAAACATGTATTTAAAAATTCTGAAATTGAGTATTTTATAACTAATCTCATAAAACCAGCATTAACCAGGTGTCTTAGTTATTGTTTTATTGCTGTGACACCATGACCAAGGCAAGTATTACAAAAGAAAGCATTTAATTGGGGGTTTAAAGTTACAGAGTGTTAGCCCATTAAAATCAGAGTGGGGAGAATGGTAACAGGCAGGCATGGTGTAGAAGTAGAGCTTTACATCTTGATACAAAGGTGAAGAGAGGGGAGATGGGGGGAGGGAGACACTGGGTTTGACGTGGTCTTTTGACACATCTAAATTCATCCCCAAGGACACACTTCCTCCAATAAGGCCACACCTCCTAATCTTTCTAATCCTTCTCAAACAGTCCACCAAGTGGTGCTAAGCATTCAAATATGAGCGGCTGTGTGAGGTCATTCTCATTCAAAACATTACACCTGGTTTCAAAATTCTACAAAAGTAACACAAGAAAAAAAATAGTACTGAACAGTAACCCTCATGAACAACACTGACAACCAAAATCCCTCACAATAAAAATTTTGATTCAACAAAGCCAAATCTAGCAATATACAAAAAGGCTGGCATGACTGAACTACTGTGGTGGTTTGAATATGTATGATCCCCATAAGTTCATATATTTGAATGCTTGGTCATTAGAGTGGAGAACCACTTGACAAGGATTAGGAAGTGTGGCTTTGTTGGAGTAGGTGTAGTGTTGTTGGAGCAGGAAGAAGTATGTCACTGGGGGTGGGCTTTGGGGTTTCAAAATGTCAAGCCAGGCCCAGTGTGTGTGTGTGTGTGTCTGCTGTTTGTGGATCCAGATGCAGAACTCTCAGGTGCCATGTAGGCCTGTGTGCCATCATGCTCCCCACCATGAGGAAAGTGTACTAACCCTCTGAACTGTAAGCCAGCTCCAATTAAATGCTTTCTTTTTCTAAGACTTGCTATGGTTATGATGTCTCTTCACAGCAAGAGAACACTGACTAAGACAAGTAAAAGTGTCAGAAAATGAACAAAATCTATCATCTACACACAAATAATTCAGGCAGAATAGGTAGAAAGAACACTGAACTTAATTCTGACTCATAATCAAAACCAAGAAACTAGATCCAAAGAAAATGTTTATAGTTACAGTACATCAAAAGGTGAAACACTTAATAACTTCCTGCTAAGACCAAGACAATGGTTACTTTTCTCAGTACTTACACAGCATTTTACTAAAGTCCCTAGACAGAGAAATAAGAGGTAGAGGAATAAACAGAAATCAGATTGGGAAGGAAAAAATGTGGCAAGTAAAAGTAAAAATTATTGGAAAGAAAAATTATATTTATAGACAGAAGTCATGAAAAAGGCATGGAGATACACACCTATAGTCACAGCTGTTTAGAAGAAAAGGTGACAGGTCAGAAATCAAACACTAACTGACTGCAAGTCTCATTACAGTCTATATAATCAAGTCAGTGTAACACTGACAAAAAAAAAAAGAAAAAAGAAAAACACTTATCAATGAAACTCAATAGAATCCAACAGAAAGATCACACATTTATGATCAAAATATTCATAACATATGCCAAAATAATTTAATGGGAGGGTGATCTTTTTGGAAAATGATAATAGAACAACTGTATAGATAAGAAAAAATTATCTGTATGATAAAAATTAATTCAAAATAGTATCACATACCTCTATGTAAGAGCTCTAATTTTTGGATTATGAAAAAATTTCTCAGTACACAAAAAGTACAAGTCATTAAGTGGAAAAAAAACACTGAAGAAATAGATCCAATCAAAACTAAAAACAGAAGGGCATGGTAACATATGACTTTAACCGTAACAC